ATTTCATACAAAAGCAGTTTTATGGGTATGATTTTGAATTACGAATATTTTTTTTTGGCTTTTTTTTAAATATTTCATTTCACCCGAACTAATTTAGTCAGTGAGGGTAAAGTCGTTAAATAAAACTTATTACTACCAAAAGCCTATATTATCAAGCCAATCAAATTAATCCGGTCCTGGTGAGTTTAGATATTAAATGCGCATGTGTTATATTTATTTGATTGGTTTTTTAATTTGACACTATTTGATCAAAGATGTAATAAATATTTGGGTTTTTTAGTTATGAATCCAAAGAAAATAGAAATCTCAATTCCAAAACCAAAACTACATAGTAATGCCATAATCCAAAAAAAATGGGTTGGAAATATAAAGAAACCTGACATGAAATCTTTAAAATACTAATTTCTATTCGTATAATGAAATAAGTTAACCTACAATATTTAAATCTTATACCAAACCATATTTGGTCTCAAAGCTCAAACGTTAGATCGAACCATTTTTCATTTCCTATTGATAAGAAATCCAATTAACAATACAATATTTACAAAAATTTACATCAAAAAATAATTAAGTAAATAAAACCTACCATGAATAACCTGACTTTCACCCTTTAAAATAAATCCGACTTTTTGATATAACGGAATTAAATATTCATGACTTATCAATGCGACCATTTCATATTTAACACCTACATCTCTATTTTGAGATTCATTTCGCAATCTCGTGATATATTCATTTAACATATGAGTAGCAACACCACGCCTTCGATATAGCTTATCTACACAAACAGAATGAATACAAACAGTTTTTCCAAAAGGATCATGGTGTGACATCGATTCATCAGTTATTGTTGTCGCATTTGTAAGCGTTGATACGACGAATCCGATCAATAGCCGTTCAGAAGAAGTCGAAAGATTCGCGGGGAGATATGCACCTAAAAATAATGTAGGTGCAAGGCCTTGACGATATACAAGTTTTTCTAATGTGGCGGCCTCTTCGGGTGGATAACCTATTGAAACGAAAGAAAGAAACCAACCAATTCATCAAATTCAAGAGAATTTGAGAATTTATAAAAAAAAAAAAAAAAGCGAGTAAAAATTCTCTGTATATAAACCTTCAGATTCTAGCTGAAAAGCACGTTTGACATCAGATGCATTCACATACTCGAACAACAAGGAATCAAGAAATGATTTATTATCCATTCGGCTATTTGTTTTCGTTTAATTATATTTAAATTGATGAGTGAAAGAATATAGTAATATTTTAATTTTTCACTAATTATATACCAATATGCCTCAGATCGTCGCGTGCGTCAGGCGAACCCCGGATACATTATCGACTATTAAGTGAGCACTTTCAATTCTGTGCTACGAACATATCTATCAAGAATCGTGCTCTTTTTAGTTAAGATGTGCGAAAAAGGGAATAAAGGCGTCACGAATTTGAAAACGTTTTATATATACACGTACGTACTTCTTACTCTTTACCTTGCTCTTGGTCTCGATCCCATTCCGTTCCACTTTGTTCTGAATAATGCTCGTGTTTATAAAGATTTGAGGATGCCCCTTTTTATGATTTTTCGTTTTTATTTGTGCATCAATAGAGTCAGTAAAAATGGATCTCGATTTAAAATCCAACAATTTATTATTAAATAATTAGAATTAATCTTTTATCAATTTAGCAAATCATGCTGCAGTATTAAGTTTATTTTGTGCGCTTTAGGTTTACAATTATAATTATTGTGAAGGCTAAGGCAAAAAATAGCTAAAGTTAAAAATTTTGGGTTTCTATTTGGATCTTACTAAAGCTTATACTCTTTATTAACAATTCTAATTCTAAATACAGTCATTTCTCTATACAATCACATCACAAACTTTATACAACTAGGAAATGCGCAGCATTGTGTGTCATTATTTAGTAACAAAGAGCTATTTAAAATTTATAGAGTAATATTATAAAGCTTAACGAAATCATATAAACAAGATGATCATTTCTATTTTGGGGTCCTTAAAGCAGGGTTAAAAAAAGTTACGTTTTTGATGTTTTAAGAGTTACCTTTTTGATACAGTTAAGGTTAATAAGTTATTTATATACGAAAAATATTGTCACACGTTGGTATGTATGGAGTGTAACTGGCTGAGGTAAGAGCCAGGAATGAAGTTAGCAATAGTAGTTGCGCTGGGAATCACCATAACAGACCGGACAGAAAAACAAATAGACAATAAAAGCTTAACGATAAATATTCAGCCGGTGGTTTCCCGCCTGCCAAAGCAGGCCGGCTGTTAGAATGGCAGGATCATGTGATGGTTCCATGAGATTACCCATGATACTGCCATTTGGATTGGGTTTGGCTAATGCTTGGTGCAAGTGATAATGTTTCATTGTGCTTTATTTATTTACTATAGTTCTTATTTCTCTCTCTCTCTTTTGATTCTATTTTATTATTATTTTCCTTTTATTTGCACTTGAGCGGTCTAGGTTTGGAGTTGTGCCGTGTTGATGATCTGGTGGTTGAGAGGG